TATTTAAAAATTAAAACTAAAAGAATAACTACATAAATAACAGAGGAGCTGGGAAGGTAGCTCAATGGTAGAGTGCTTGCCTTGCATGCGTGAGGCCCTGGGTTCGATTCCTCAGCACCACATAAGCAGAAAAAGCCAGAAGTGCCACTATGGCTCAAGTGGTAGAGCACTAGCCTTGAGCTGAAGAGCTGAGGGACAACACCCAGGCTGAGTTCAGGCCCCACGACTGACAAATAAGTAGCAGAAAAAGATCCCTACCAATATTTGGGCTGTACTTTACCACTGAAATAGGTAAGTGGGGTGGAATATTACAGCAGAGGCTGTTGGAGCCAAGACTTTGTGGGAAGAGAGGGTCTGAGAATTTTAAGGCTCTGGCTGGAGTAGGGAAAAACACTAAAAGAGCAAGGGATTCCAGTGATACTTGCCAAGAAGCCAGTTCATATTGAACACATAAAACCACAACTATCTTATCACTATTAGAGAATCTGTGGGTAAAGAATACAGAGTTGAGTGGGAACAACCCGTTACACATGCTAAAGACTTCACATAGGAAGACATGGATGTGTTAGAGTGACAAGAATCCCTAAGAAGGGGCTGGGAAGGTGGTTCAGTGGTAAAGCGCTTGCCTTGCATGCATGAGGCCCTGGGTTCGATTCCTCAGCACCACATAAGCAGAAAAAAAAGGCGGAAGTGGCCCTGTGGCTCAAGTGGTAGAGTGCTAGCCTTGAGCTGAAGAGCTGAGGGACAGTGCCCAGGCCCAGCATTCAGGCCCACGACCGGACCGCCCCCCCCCAAAAAAAAAAGAATCCCTAGAGTTGGGTTTAAGATGTAGATGTCATTCAGTAGTAGTGTATGCTTAGCATGGGTAAAGGCCTAAGCTTTTTGTTTGGGTTTTTTTTTTGGGGGGGGGGGTTCTTGGGGCTTGAACTCTGGGCCTGGGTGCTACACCTCAGCTCAAGGATAGCACTCTACCATTTGAGCCACAGCACGATTTGCAGCGTTTTTTACTTATGTGGTGCTGAAGAATTGAACCCAGGGACTCATGCATATAAGGCAAGCACTTACCACTGAGTCACCTTCCCAGTCCAAAGGGCTGAAGTTTCCAACTCCCTCACGCCTACATATTGCTTTGATCTAGAATTAGATGGTTTTAAACACTAGATTCAAGTGAATTAGATTCCTCTTGCTGGGGAACCAACAAGATCACATTACAGAAAAGCACATGAAATTGGAAATGGTGCTGGGGATGACTTTGGAAAGTATCTTAGAAAAGCAGGGAAGGCATCAAATTGGGGCTTTATTGCAGACTTGGGGGATTTGAGTCAAATGTGTTAAGGGAAGGTCTTGGCAGACAGTAAGATCATAATCTGACTTACATTCCTATGATTCCTTTGACTACTGTGTATAAATAAGATGTAAGGGAAGAGATGATGGGGTCAGGGACCTAAATAAACTTTCCCAACCCTGAGCTAGGCTGAAATCAAGGTCCAGCCAAGTACTTGTTGAAGGAGCTGCCACAATTCCAGCCTCTGGGATTACATTCCTCCTGCTCTCTCCCAATGTGACAAGTATTTTAACAAACTGTGCAAAAAGAGTCATTAAGTACTGCAGACACAAACCAGACTTTAGAAAAACATAGCACAAGGCCTTTTGGAAGCACAGCCAAGTGTTTCCAGTCTTCCAGTCTTAGACTTGGGATTTCCTGTCTTCTTAGGCATTTGCTGGGCAAGCCAAGATTAGTTTTGCCTGAGAGTGGGCTTCCCACATGGCTTCTGTGCCTTTTTTTCTGTTCCTTTAGGATTCATTCCATGTGTTCCTGGCTCCAGGTTTTCTAACCAGCTACTTGCCTCCCAACACAACTTGAAGATGGGATCACGATACAATTTCAAGGAGCAGAGGTCCTGCAAGCTTCAGCTGGATCCAGCTGGGCTCTTGAAAGTTAGCTCTGGTTTAGTTCCTACCTTCTTGCCAAATATCAAAACCTTGCTGACCAGAACTGGGTGAGACAAGGGGGAGCAGGGACTTACATGAATGGCGCCAGGAATTACCATAGGCATGGAGCCTGCCTGGATGGGGAGTAACTGATCCACAGGTTGACACCCCACTCCATCAGCACCATCTGTCCTTGCTGCTTGAGAAGTGCCTCACTTAGGATAATTACTAGAAGCACAAACTCCCTCTTATTTATACAATGTGGGAGGGGATAAGCTAACACAAAATCCCCACCAAAATGACAAGAATGAATATGCAAAGTGACAGTGGAGTGGGAAGGGGGAAAGCAATGCATTGGCATATATTATGAATAACAAGACCATTCCCATATGAGAAACATAAAATAGGCTGGGGGAAGGGGAGGGGCGTAGCTTTTAATAGTTCCTGAGACACAAGTTGCCAACCATCTTCCACAAAACCTGATATAAATCCCATATCGCAAACTCTGCAAATTACCTCGATTTTGCCCACTCCACCAGCAACCTCATCGCCACAAAAATGTACATGGGCAAAAGTTGGAAGGTAGCCATGAGAAATACCCATGGTTGTGAACTTCCATCACAGCTCTTTTGCTGATTACAGGTCCCTCAGAAGCTTAATAAGCTTCGAAGGAGTTTGACAAAGCATGTACAAAAAGCCTTTCAAAGTCCTTCTAAAACAGTTGCCTAAATCATTCACAACTGCCACCTAGCTAAGCTTTTTCCGTGGGTAAGTTGGGGATTGCTAAAGGGTGGCAAAGAGACTGATAGGCCAGATGGAAAAAGCCAGATGATACTCTTGTAAGAATTCTGCTTTCCTAGTGGAAAAAACACATGTACAGAAGCTTCTCTAACAGCTTGCTACCTACTCTGCTTAACTGTACTAGTTGTCTCCATGGAGGCTACTCCAGGGGCTAGGGGCACAGCTCTGTGGTACTGTTTGCCTAACAAGGACAACTCCCTGGATGCAATCACCAGCAAGCACACACACACAATACCACCAGGAAAAAAAAAAAAACTTTCCCTATTCCAAAAAGAAAACTTAAAATCTATATAATTTACTTATGCAATGGCTGGGAAGGTGGCTCAGTAGTAAAGCTCTTGCCTTGCATGTATGAGGCTCTGGGTTCGATTCCTCAACACCACATAAGCAGAAAAAAAAAGCCGGAAATGGTGCTATGGCTCAAGTGGTACAGCGCTAGCCTTGAGCTGAAGAGCTGAGGGACAGTGCCCAGGCCCAGAGTTCAGGCCCACGACTGGACCAAAAAAAAAAAAAAAAAAACAATTTACAATAAGACATGACAAAAATAGGAGCTTATACTTTCCATTTTGTTTGGAGGCAATAAAAATGTGTATCAATGGGGCTCTGGGAATGTGGGCTCAGTGGGAAAGTACTTGCCTTGCATGTAGACCCTGGGTTCAATTCCTCAGCACCACACAAACAGAAAAAGCTGGAAGTAGTGCTGTGGCTCAAGTGGCAGAGTGCTGGCTTTGAGCAAAAGCATGTCAGGGACAGAGAACCCCGGGCCTGAGTTCAAGCCCCAGGACCAGCCCCCCCCCCCCAAAAAGTATCACCGCCAGACACCAGTGGATCATGTCTGCAATCCTAGCTACTCAGTAGCTGAAATCTGAGGATCAAAGGCAACCTGGGCAGGTAAGTCTGTGAAAGTCTTATCTCCAATAAACCACAGAAAACCTGAAGTGGCGCTATGGCTTAAGTGGTAAGCTCTAGTCTTGAGCTGAAGAGCTCAGGGACAACACCCAGGACCAGAGTTCAAGCCCCATGACTGAACAAAAAATAACAACAACAACAAAAAACCACTAAGCAAGAACATCCACTAAACCTCCAGTGAATCACTTTAGGAAGTCCATCCAAGCATCAAACACTGCTGTGGTGTTTGTTGCCTGCTTTCCTCCCAGGTAGATCACGTGGCCCTAAACTGTTTTGACACCAGGCCAGGAAAATTCCCAGAAGGGCCTTAGAAAGGGAGGTTGTCTTGTGTGACCAGTAATTTTAAGCCCAAAGGATAAAGCCACTGCCTAGAAATACTAGAGCTCGTAGGTAAGAAGGGCATTTCCATCCCTGCTGCAACTGGTACTTAGCCACAAGATGGTGATCTGGGCAACTTAACAGGCCTGCTAGGTTTTCTGAGCCACTCATTAGTACCCCTAAGGCCTGGGCAGGTGGCTGCCCTGGTCTTCACCTGCCACCTACAGGCAAGAAAGCTGATGGCACAGGTGTTTATTTCATCACAGCTACTACCTCAAACAATCTTCAATGTACAACCAACAGGATGAGCAAGGCCTACAAGGACACACTCCTGTAGGGCAGAACAAATCAAGATTGTTGGCTGTCACCACCACAGATTAAGTCTGTGCACCATAGCTTTTCTTTAGCTCTCTCACCAAGGCCAATGATCTCGGCTCAGTTGCAATTCTTGGGACACACATTCTGGCCTTGTTTTCTACCAAAAACAAAAACACCCAAAAACTCCAAACAGTATCAGGATTTATTATTTTATTATATGCTTTGTAAAAAAAAAAAAAAAAAGAAAAGAAACAAAAAAGGAAAAGCCCAAACATGCATGCTACCCACCAGAGGAAGCTCATCTTTCTTGTGCAGGCCATATTATGTTAATGTGCAAAGCCCTATATACTCCCCACCATTAAATGTTTATGACCCAACTACAAAAATGGAGCTTTGAAGGGTGCATGAAGACAAACAGGAACTTGCCCTTGTTTGAGTAACATCTAAGTAAAGAACCATGATGTAACAGGGAGCAAATGCCAAATGAAGAATTGGAATGTCTGTAAGGGCAAGACTGTTGAGACAGACATGGGCCACATGATTGCTTCTACTTGTTTTCAGAAGGCACATGTCTCCTACACCTGACAATCAACAACTGAGGATGACAGCAGGAGAATCCAGTATTCAGATTCTGCCTACTTTGAGGTATCAAATGCAAGAGGAAAGATTAGTTATATTCAATCCAAGTAGCATGCAATGAAAATTTGTTTAAACCAACATGGTTAAGTGTTAAGATTTTTAGAAATCAATATTATTTATTCACAATTTTAAACTAAAGTCAAGGCTATTTATCTTCTGTGGTAATGATTTAAGTGCAAGTGATGCTGGCTTTCACATTTGTTTCCTTCCTTAAGAGCAAGGCAGATCAGTTGTTCTTGAATAAGTCAATGCAGCTCTGCAGGAGGGAGACATTGTTCTGGGGGGAAAGAAAATCAACAAATAAACCAAATATCAAAGTCAAGGTAAAGTAACCTGCTCTAGACTCTAAATATACTCAAGAATGAAACACACACTCTGACACAGCTTTTCTCATGAAACATGAAATCAAAAGTAGGGTGGGGGACATCCCTTCACTAACTCCCTAAAATTTTAACTACCTATCCTTTCCCAGTTCAGCCAGAGAGTTCCTCTGAGGGGAGGGCCTGCGAATGCTGCCTGGGAGTGGGCACTGCTCCAGCACCTATAGTCCAGTGCAATCATACCACTCACTTCTGCAAGGTCTTGCTCAGCCTAGTTATGGGAAAGATTTCAAATTAAATCAAGACATTTTAAATGCTCATCACAAAATAAAGACATACAGTAAACTTAAAATGCCAAGTACTTCATGGCTATGAATTGTATTTTAAAAACGATATTTTCAAATCGTTACACAGATTGACAAGAAGTTGGACTAATTAAGAATGGAGAAAACGGATCAAATATTTTTTTTGTGGTGAAGCTCAATCCCAAGTCCTTATTATTGCTGAACTCTAACCTCGACCCACCAACAAGCATAAGCACCTAATATTCCTTTTAGAAACCCATACTTACATATACCCAGACCAAATAAGATTACTGTATTTTAAAACAAAAACTTTTGCAAGCTGCTGAATAGCCAGATTTGAAGATAGAGGTTCAAAGTGAGTTCCCCCCAAAGCCAAGCAAAAACATCAAACTCTGAGTCTACCTCTGACACTGGTACATGCATACATACGCACATGTCTACATACATACACACAGAGGCACACACCATGAACACCCAAGATACTAAATAACTTCTGGTATTTGAGACAAGCTTTTGCTTTGATCTTAGGCATGCCTCAAATATGTGATTTTCCTCTGAAAAATTCACAAGTTACTAAAGCAGACTCTTCAGAAGAATGGCCTGTAAACAGGCAAGGAGAAATTAAACTCCTGCTCCTAATCCTAGGTACTAAAAGCAGGGCTGAAAGTGCGCCTTAAGTGGCAGAGTACAGCCGAGTATACAGACCTGAATGCAAACCACAGTAGAGGATGGGGAGGGCAGGGGAACAAGAATGCTCTGTATTGCAAGGTAATATATTTTGGTTTGCAGTAGAAGAAACTCCCACTGACCACTCCCATACACTAAATACCATTACAGATCAACACCAAAAAGCTAAAAGAAAATCCCATCTACCTAACACTAGGACAACAAATTAGGACATTAAATCCCCATCCCTGCCACAAAAAAAAAGTTCACTAGAGTTGTTGGCTCAGTTTTAACACTTACTCTGGCGTGCTTTATTTCCAGTTCAGACATTTCAATTAGGTTCTTTCTAAATGCTGCTACTCTCTTCCGCTTGAAATTTATTAGTTCTATGGTGAGAAAAAAAATGATTTTACAAAATAAAGTTGACCTTCAAATGCACTGCATCTTCCAAATATCCTTAGAAATTATCTCCAGAACTTTCTTGAGTCACCACTGAGACACATTAGATGTGGTATGGTTACAGCTATGTGCTTCTTAAATGGACCAAGTTTTATCCAAAGGTACTAATGTGCAGGGAAAAAGTGGAATGGGATATAAGCCATAACATTACCAATGTCCTCAGAACAGTGAACTCTGTAAGACATCATATAATGCCAACAATCTCATGAAAAAGGCCCAGCAACCACTAATCTTGGTGGAAATACAAACTAAAACTTCAAGAAGCTATTCCTCATCTGTAAGAATGTTTTATCAAAACAAAAAAAAGTAGCATGACTGGTAGAGAAAATTAGGCATTTGCATTGAAGACATGAAAATCAATACAAGGAAAATGGAAATTCTTCAAAACTAAAAAATTCGACCTCTAGGAACATATCCAAAGGAATTAAAATCAGTATGGATGAAATGGATGCGTGTATCCTCACATTCAAATGGAAAGAGAACATAATGTCCAAAAGTTTACCATCTAGGGACAAAGTTGCAGTGCAATAGTAAAGTATTTGCCCAACATGTATACACACTGGGTTTGATATCCAGCACTACATAGCACCAAAAAACAAAAACCCACCACAAATACAGAACAAGTAAGGGATAGTGGCATGTCTACAATGTCTACAAGACAGCCTAAGATACAAAGCAAGACCCTATCTCATTAAAAAAAAGGGGGGGAGGGGAGACTCCTTGAAGAAATGGTCAACTAGAGTAAAAAAGCATCCACCAAAAAGCCAAAGTGAAAATGTGGCTCAAGTAAGTGGTAGAGCACAAGTCTTGAGCACCTAAGCCTGAGTTCAAGCCCCAGAAGCTGCACAAACATAAAAAATAAAGCCAGTATTGCTGGGTGCCAGTGACTCACACGTGTAATCGGAGGTATTCTGGAGGCTGAAATCTGAGGACTGTAGTTTCAAACCACCTGAGGCACAAAAAGCCTGCGAGACTCTTTTTTTTTTTGTCAGTCGTGGGGCTTGAACTCCGGGCCTGAGTGCTGTACCTCAGCTCTTCAGCTCAAGGCAAGCATTCTACCACTTGAGCTACAGCGCCACTTCCTGTTTTCTGGTGGTTTATTGGAGATAGGAGTCTCAAGGTCTTTCCTGCCCGGGCTGGCTTTGAACTGTGATCCTCAGATCTCAGCCTCCTGAGTAGCTAGGATTACAGGCGTGAGCCACCAGTACCCCGCTTGCCAAAAAAATCCAGACTGGAGCTATGGCTTAAGTAGTAGAGAATTTTTATTGTTTTTTTTTTTTGGTCCGGTTGTAGGGCCTGAACTCTGGGCCTGGGCGCTGTCCCTCAGCTCTTCAGCTCAAGGCTAGCGCTCTACCACTTGAGCCACAGTGCCACTTCCGGCTTTTTTCTTTTTGCTTATATGGTGCTGAGGAATCGAACCCAGGGCCTCATGCATGCAAGGCAAGTGCTCTACCACTGAGCCAACTTCCCAGCCCCAGTAGTAGAGAATTTTTAAAAGCTCAGTGACCACACCCAAGCCATGAATTCAAGCTCTGAAACAGGCATAGAAAAAAAATGGCATGTATATAATCTAATTTCCTCTGTCCAAGAACTCAGATATGTATTTATGAGCACACACAAGGATACATATAAGTAAGCAAATAATAAAGTAGATGGGAACAAAGTGTTGAACACAAAACACAGGGTTAGATAACAGACTAAATATTCTACAACTGACATACATTCCCAGCTCTAGATATTGGTTGGTAATTCTCACTACTTGTGTTCTCTATAAATAATTTCAAAATAAAAAGTGCAGAAAAATATTCTACCTTCTTTTGCAGATTCAGAAAGCTGTTCAAATTTCTGGCAGCATTCCTGCTGATGTGCCTCAGCCAACTTGACATCTTTGCTTTTTAATCGGGCCTTGTCCAAAGCTTTATTTGAGTTTTCATAGTCAATGAGGGCTTTGGTGCGCCTGTATAAGAGATCCTGAGAAGAAAATTAACAATACAACAAAAAAAATCCTCTGGTATACACAAAGCTCTGTGGTTAGCCCTCTACACTCCCCCACCCCCCCAAAAAAAAAAATTAAGGTAGATTAGCACACTATTTGTACATGGATCTCGACCATCTACTGAAATTTTGCCTATGGACCAGATGTTAAAACTAAGCAAGAGTAAAAACATGGGTATTTTTCTAGTTAATTCAATAACTGAAAATTACTTAAGAATGTGAAATAACATGATCCTGTCTAGCACAATCCACATCTGAAAATCTTCCCTGGGATCCAATCTCATGTTTGCAATCTTCTGACAAAGCACAAATATCTAAAAGTGGCAATTATGTGCGCTGTATAAAATAGGTAATGCAATTTTTAAAAAACTGCATGAGACAAAATAATTGTCAAAGCTCAGTAAAGCATAATCTACTTTTGTAATGCTTTTGTGTGAAATATTCTGTGAATTTCTTTTGGGGGGTTGGTCATGGGGCCTGAACTCGTCCCTCTATTCTTCAGCTCAAGGCCAGCATTCTATCACTTGAGCCACAACACCACTTCCAGCTTTTACTGCTTATGTGGTGCTGAGAAATTGAACCCAGGGCATCATGCATGCAAGGAAAGCACTCTACCACTAAGCCACCGTCCCAGGCCCCTCCGTGAAAATTTTTTAATGAGCTTTTAAGTCAGAAAATAAAATCTAAAGAATGTTTAAAATGTCTAAGAGGGCTGGAATGGTGGCTAAGTGGTAGAGTGTTTGCCTTGCATGCATGAGGCCCTGGGTTCGATTCCTCAGCACCACATAAGCAGAAAAAGCCGGAAGTGGTACTGTGGCTCAAGTGATAGGGTGCTAGTTGAATTGCTGAGGGACAGTGCCCAGGCTGAGATCAGGTCCCACAACCTGCCAAAAAAACAAATAAATAAATAAATAAAATGTCTAAGATTAAGATAACAGGAAAAAAGCCTCCTCAGGTCAAAATGTAAATGAGGAAAGAATAAAACAATCCCAAACATTGTATTTACCTCTTAAGCCTTAATTACAATGATGCATACAAAAAAGGGGCATAATACAAGGAGATCTGGTCAATGTCTACCTTCTTTCCCACCCCACCCCCCACTTTTTTTTATTTCAAAAAAGGAAATCCCTAGCATTAAATTCTGCTCATGGTACCATGGTCTAGCACTGATGTGTTGGTTAAACAATTCCCTCCCTCTTCTTACCTTTGCGGCCTCTATGTTGAGCATGTAGTATCGGAGTAGCTCTGTCAGCTTTAAATCTTCATCTGATGAGACTCGTCCCTCTACTTTCTATTAAAAAATAAATAAAAGTCACAATCCATTCACTCAAGAAATCTACAATGATAACTTATGAAGAACAAAAATTCTTACCCTAAGTTTTTCAAATAGTTCAGCAACTTTCAACAGGTACCTGAAAACAATGTTGTAGGTTAAAGATCTTAAACTTGCTATCAGGGATGAACTTAAGATATGAATGGTACTTTAAGATTAATTACCAAACAAATGTTAATTACAATTCTCTTAAATAGTAGAGCACATTTACATTGCCTCACTCATTAGTATCATGCTTAAGTCCAGGATGATTCTTATTAATAAGGTGATGAGGATCACCATGGGTGTTATCTATCAATAAATATTGCCATCTTGGTTGCTATAAACCAGCCTTTCAACCTCAAGTCAGAGGAAGTATGCCAATGTGCAGAGGTAGTATTTGGAAAAATACAGGAAGTGTCCAAGATGGAGAACTCATGATAAACACTTAGAGATCAGTATGTGGTGGTTTGAAGCCTGTTTGGGCAACAAGGCAAGATTCTGCCATTTAAAAATAAAGGACAGACAGATCATCACCAGAGAATATGGCAAGAGCCAATTGTCACAGACAAATTTTCCTCAAATATAACAGAAATGTATTCCTTAAAAGCTGCTATATTTCACTTCCTTACAACTGTATGTACAGAGGGTAAGATTGGATACTAGACGGTATCTGTGGAGCTTGTGCTTCAGTGTAGAACCCAAGCCATAGAGAGTACTCAAGAGCTACTTTTAACTATACTGTTCAGTCCTTATCCATTCATTATAAGGTTGGGGAAATGTTATTCTAACAAAGTCTTACTTTTTGATGACAGTGGGCTCTTCTAAGGCCAGGCTATGCAAACAGGCAGCAGTGTGGATATAGTCATCAGCAACATCTAGAAAAACAAGCACAGCCTTTTTAGCACAAGAAAGTAGATATGTTAGCAAAGGTCTTCTAAGTGGCAAGTGGGAAAAGATATTTACTTTTATGAGATCTGGTCATTTTGTCTGCTTTAGCACAGGAATCCTTGATCCTGTTGTAATAGTTAATGAGGAAATTCTTTTCTTGCTCAAAGAAGTCATCTACCTCCTAAAAATAAGGAAAAAAGAAACAGGCAGAGATTCTTAAGAATATGAGTATTTCATATTGCAAAATATTTTGGGTAGAATACTTGGGAAGTTGAAGATTGTAAGTTTAAGGCTAGTCTGTGTTCAAACAGTCAAGATACTGCTTTCTCGCTCCCCCCTACCAAAAGATAGGCACTGGTGGTGGATACACATAACACTAGCTACTCAAGACCCTAAGATCTGAGGATTATAGTTCGAAGTCAGCCTGTGAGACTTACCTACAAATAACTAAACCCCTCCTGCCAAAAAACAAAGGTGGAGCTGTGGTTTAAATGAGAGAGCACCAGCTTTGTAACACAAGCATAGAGACGAGGCACAGCCCAAGCAGAGACCAAACATCAGAGTTCAAGCCTCAGGACTAACATACACAAAAACTAACTTGCACAGGTTAAAGCTCAAAGGTAAAGTTCTAATTCAAGACCAAAAAAAGGTAAATTTATACTTTTTCTTATTTGATACCCAAGACCGTGTGCCAGTAGCATAATTATGTTGAAGAGCAACTGGCTAGCCAATAGACAACAAGCTCTGGTAATGTCTTCTGAGACCTCTACTCTACTAGTAGTGGTTCTGTATAATGGGACACTGCTTCCTTGACAACTTGATCTATATGTATATTGCTGGGTTATTAGTTTTAAAAAAATATGTTGGGTCTGGGAATATGGCTTCATGGTAGAGTGCTTGCTTAACATGCATGAAGCCCTGGGTTTGACTCCTTAGCACCACAAACAGAAAAGGTCAGAAGTAGCACTGTGGCTCAAGTGGTAAAGTGCTGGACTTGAGCCCAAAAGCATAAGGGGCATCGCCCAAGGTTCAGTTTAAACCCCAGAGCTAGCACAAAAATGACTATAGAATGAGACATCTGGCAGGCAGTCACTGGTGAGGGATAAACATCACATATGCAGGGATATACTTTGTCACTCTAAAGTTCCTTGATTTCACAGTGATCCCCCACTACTCAGCACCTATGTTCTAGGCTTCCTATTCAAATCTTGAAGAAGTAAAACATCAGATAGTAAATGTTAATAATGACAACTTAAAAGAAAGAGGAAAGCCCTGAAAAGAAATCAACAAGCTGTATCTATTAATGCAGTGAGACAAGTTTGGTTTCTTAATCATGGCAGGTAAGGTCTGTCATATGTACACATCATGTGCTCATCTACCTGTCAGCTATGTGGTTCAGTTACCACTTTAGAGAACATACTTTTTCCCTCAGATAACTGAGTAACTTCTACCCTATGGGATAGGTAAAAAGTTGAAATACTTAAGCATGGAAAGACTCATTATTACCTCTCTAAAGAGAACTAGGTATTTTGAAGAAGTAAAAATATATGAAAACAGCCAATTTCAAACAACCCAAGTATATTTTATCTTATAAATATCACTTTCCAAGAAATAAGACATTTATTCCTACAAAATTAGTTTTCTCAGTGCTAACTCCTTACCTTAACTCCAGAGAAAAGGACTTCATCAGCACTTTTTACAACACTTTTAAAAAAGCCACCAAACATCTCTTTGGTATTTTTCCGTCTGACGCTTAGCTAGAAAATGAGATTCCAAACCAAAAAAAGGGCTTATTGTAAGAGTTCTAGGATCTTCAGTTCTAATTAATTCCAAGTAATGCTTCTTACTAGTATAGGCACACACTACAGAATTTAAAACATCTTAACCTAAGAAATACCCTAAATAACTATGTAGACAACAAGGCTTAGAGGCTTTTCAATCTAAGAGTACCAGTTTTTTCAATACATTGTTTTTTGAAAAACTTTCTGGGTTAGGATTTGTCTTACAAATAATAAGAAGTAATATAAGGGGCTGGGAAGGTGGCTCAGTGGTAGAGCACTTGCCTTGCATGCATGAGGCCCTGGGTTTGATTCTTCAGCACCACATAAGCAAAAAAGAAAGAAGAAAAAAGCCGGAAGTAGCACTGTGGCTCAAGCTGTAGAGCACTAACCTTGAGCTGAAGAGCTGAGGACAGTGCCCAGGCCCAGAGTTCAGGCCCAAAACCGGACCCCCCCACCCAAAAAAAAGAAAAACAAGAAGTCTTGTTTTTAATATCAGCTCTTAGAAGGTTGAGACAGGAAGGTCATGAAATGTTTTAAGGCCAACCCAGGCAATACAGCAAATTGCTATATAACAGAACACATCTCAAAAAAATAAAAATGCTCAGTACCAGTGACTCACACCTGCAACCCTAGCTACACAGGAGGACGAGACTGGAGGACCACAGTTAAAAGCCAGCCAGGATTCTCTAATTCTTTTATCTCCAATTAACCACTCAAAATCCCAAAGTGGAGCTGTGGCTCAAAGAAGTAAACTGATTTGTTGAATAGAAACTCCTCTGTAGAACTACTTATAGATAATAAAAATATCTAACATAAAAAAAATAGTATTTCAAAAAAAAAGGTATCCAGGAAGAAATAAAAAAGATTCTAAGGTTACCAAACTTAATGGGAAAATACTTGTCTTTGGAAGAATGACATTTTTATAATAGATATATGGACAAAGCAGCATTTAAAATTTTTTCCATTGATACAGTATGTTCACAAAAAATAAAAATTTAAAAAAAATTTTTTTCCATTGTTTTTACATTCCTTTTTTTTTCAGTTGTTTTTATAAAGGTGATATATAGGAGTCACAGTTACAAGTCAGGTAATGAGTACTTCTCTTTTTGGACAATGTTACCCCTTCCCTCACTCTTCTATATTGTTTGTAAGGATATTTTTTCTAAGGATAATTGTTTCTATATTGTTGCTAAGGATATTTTTTCTCCAAACGGAATAAAGTATTTTTGATAGTAAGTGATGCATTTCAGCTGGACCATGGGAAGGAAATAAAATTGCCTTACATCTTGATCATATTCCAGAAACACATGGAAGTTTCTATCTTTACTAAGAACAGGATGAGATGAAAGTCGCTGAAGAAAGACTTCATGGGAGGACACAGTCTTCTTAAAGACAGCTAGATACTCACTGAAAAGACAAGAATATACAAAATTCAGCTGGCATTATTCAACTATCTGACCAATACCACTAACTCCTGGTTAACTGATGTTACTAAGTTAAATACTGTAATTGGGCCAAAATAATATTTAGGTTTAACTTGGAATCTCATTAAATAAGACAGCTAACATTTTGGAATCTGTGGAATGAATCAATGAAGGAATCAATAATGTATTACCATCAGCTGCCTCAAGTCAGAACTTAGACCTACATGCCAATTGTGGTAGTTATCTAGTGGCTACAGAACATTTGTTTGTTGTTGTTGGTCATGGGGCTTGAACTCTGGGCCTGAGCGCTGTTTCTCAGCTCTTCAGCTCAAGGCTAGCGCTCTATCCCTTGAGATACAGGGCCACTTCCGGTTTTCTGATCGTTTGTTTTTTGCCAGACGTGGGGTCTGAACTCTGGGCCTGGGCACTGTCCCTCAGCTCTTCAGCTGAAGGCTAGCACTCTACCACTTGAGCCACAGTGCCACTTCCGGCTTTTTTCTTTTTGCTTATGTGGTGCTGAGGAATCAAACCCAGGGCCTCATGCATGCAAGGCAAGCGCTCTACCACTGAGCCACCTTCCCAGCCCCATTCTGATGGTTTATTGGAGATAAGAATTTCACAAGAGTTTCCTGCCCAGGCTGGCTTTGAACTATGATCCTCAGATCTCAGCCTCCTGAGTAGCTAGGATTACAGGCATGAGCCACCGGCACCCGGCTCAGCACATTTGCTTCTAGTAGTAATGTATACACACAGATGGTGCATAATAAGGTTTGGGAATTAACAAGAGTTATACAGTAGATTTATCTAAATGTACACAATGTAGGCATAAAGGTCATTAAGCTTCCTAATTATAAGAACCTGAAAATTAAACTACCTGCTTAGTTGTTTACTGGTAAGCTAGTCCAGACAGGCAATATATGCCAAGACACTTAGTATGAATACTTCCTCTTGGAAACACCACTGCTAAAATGGACACCTTAATTCCAACAGATTGATAATGGAAAGAGTGGAAAGAGGTCCTTTTTAAGCTAAGAATCCACCAGGAAGCTGGGTGTAGGTGGCTCACGCCTGTAATCCTAGCTACTAAGGAGGCTGAGCAAGATCTGAGGATCCACACGGGCAGGAACATCCTTGAAATTCCAATAAACCACGAGAAGTGGTGCTATGGTAGAGTAGTTGCCTTGAGCTGAAGCACTGAGGGACAGCACCCAGGCCCAGAGTCCAAGTTTTATTGGAATAAGAGTCTCACGGCTTTCCTGACCAGGCTGGCTTTGAACCGCAATCCTCAGATCTCACCCTCCTGAGAGCTAGGATTATAGGTGTGAGCCACCAGCTTGCTGTAACTTTTTTTTACAGAAGTTGTTTTCCCATTCATATTCACAGAACACTTTTTCTAATTTTCACACAAAAAAGGCCAAAGAAAATCTACTTACGCTTCTAGTTCTTGTTTCATCTTGGCAAATTCTTCTTTGGTCATAGACCCTTCCCCCTCTCCCAGTTTCTGCATTTTCTCTCGAGGGCCATCAAAGTCTGGTTTTGTAGGAGCTGGAGGAATCTGCAGCAGATGCAGTGCAGTAACTTGTGAACACCTTTCCCCAGTTGTAAATGCTAACCGGTTCAACACACAGCTTTTGCCATCATAGATGGCCACCACAGTCAAGTAGCTAAGTCAACTGTAATTTCACTGAAACCATTTTCTCTCTGATCACTTAACGGTCATCAAAATAATGAGTCCCAATGGATAATCCTTTAGCTTCTCACTTTTTGATAGGGGATATATCTCAGTGGTAAAAGCATTTGCCTGGTTTTGTACACACAATGCCCTATTTTAAGCCCAGTACCACACACACAAAAAGTACTATATACTAATACAGCTAGTGTCAGTGGCTCACACCAGTAATCCTCAGGAGAATCAAGGTTTAAAGCAAGTTAGGGCAGGAAAGCCTGTTAAGACTTATTGCCAATTAACCACCAAAAAGCTAGAAGTGAGGGGCTGGGAAGGTAGCTCAGTGGTAGAGTGCTTGCCTCACATGCATGAGGCCCTGGGTTCGATTCCTCGGCACCACATAAGCAGAAAAGCTGAAAGAGGCCCTATGGCTCAAGTGGTATAGTGCTAGCCTTGAGCTGAAGAGCTGAGATAGCGCCCAGGCCCAGAGTTCAGGCCCCACGACCGGCAAAAAAAAAAAAAAAAAAGCTAGAAGTGGAGGTATGGCTCAAGTGGGAGAGCACTAGCCCTGAGCAAAAAACTGGGACAGGGCTGGGAAGGTGGCTCAGTGGTATAGTGCTTGCCTTGCATGCATGAGTCCCTGGGTTAGATTCCTCAGCACCACATAAGCAGAAAAAGCCAGAAGTGGCACTGTGGCTCAAGTGGTAGAGTGCTAGCCTTGAGCTGAAGAGCTGAGGGACAGCACCCAGGCCCAGAGTTCAGTCCCCATGACTGGCCCAAAAAAAAAAAAAAAACTGTGGGACAGTACCAAGGCTCCAAGTTAAATCCCCAGGACTACCACACCGCAAGTACTAATTTTGGTTGATTACTGAAGTATGTCCTAAGCTTAGTGCTGGTAGCTTACATCAATAATCCTACTTACTCAAGAAGCTGAGATCTAAGCATCAAGATTCCTCCAATTAGCTGGGCGCCAGAGGATCACCATTCAAAGCCAGCATTGGCAGAAAAACTCACAACCGGAAGTGGCACTGTGGCTCAAGCAGTAGAGCACTGGCCTTGAGCTGAAGAGTCCAGGGATAGCGCCCAAGCCCCATGATCAACCAAAAAAAAAAAAAAATTCCTCCAATTATAGCCATCAAGAAGCTAGAAATGAACAAGTGCCTCAAGTGGTAGAAAGCCAGCCTTGAGCAAAAATACAAAGTGAGAGCCAGAAACACTGAGGGCTCAAACCCCAGTACCAACACAAAAACAGAAAGATTCTTGGCAGGTAATACGTACTTAATTCTCACTTTAAATCAGCTAAGATAACTCATCTTCAGTGCTGATACCTGGTCTCCTTCACTACTGTTTAAGTATTGGCAATGTTCCCTTATATATCAATTCCAATGATGCCTGAAGATACCATAGAAAAATAAAGCCTAAGTTGGTTAAGACTTTAATACTTAAACTGTTTACCCTTAAAGCTTATTTTATATGTTTAATCTCTTAACTCCAGCATTATTCTCCATGTACTAACAGTCTAAAAGAATTAATGACTCTAGAATTACTTTGTACAACCCATTATATAAAATAGGTTAAGTACCCTTAAACATACATAATAGAAATAGCAAGGTAGATAGAAATAGGTTAGTTACTTATTTTTTTAAAATGTACTCACAATAAGTCCAGCATAGTCCGTTGTTTCAATAAGTGTGTCGTGTAACCACACAAAGTCTTCATGTTGCCTTGTAACAGAAAACTCTGGGCTCTGAAACACGGGCAGTGTGGTCTGTAAAGAAAGAAGTGGTAACATTACCTGATTAAGTGGCTTGGGTTTCCTGGGGCTGTACCATGGGAAAATTCTGCATAATACAACATCACATTAAGATCCAAATAAACAAAGCTGTAACACATGATCCTATCACCACTACAAAAACTATAGCTAAGACACAACATGGTCTGTAAAGAATTTTTTTCACAATTCTCTTCCTGACCATAAACATATAAATCTACTAGTAAAAATATGAAGTTAACCAGTTACTCCCAATTTAAAAGTACAGTTGCTGTTTTAAAGAAGTCTGACCTACTGTTTACTCAGCTTCACTTTCATTCCAGTGAATTAATTTCATTTACTTTCAACAGGTCAACAAGCAGAAACTATGCAGCCTGTTTTCATGCTCACCCCTAAAAAACTCAAGTATTACAGATCAGGCTAAAGTACCAAGAGAATTTACTTCAGAATTAGAATGTTATTAGCAGTGCCCCCTTGATACAAATTTAAAAACAGGCTGAAATTTTGTACTATGTAGATAAGACACTTCAGGCTGTACTTTGCCTAGTAAGCTTACCTTAGTGTGCACTGTAAATTTGACCTTATCTCGCTCACTGAGTGCATCAGGTATGTCGATCTGAAGTGAGGGATCAATGTTCAGGTCTACAGACACAGATCTCAGCTGAAACACATTATTGTATTATTAGTCTCAAACTGACTTCAACCCTAAAAAGTTTGGAAGAGTTAAGTCAGTCTCTCTCTCTCTCTCTCTCTCTATATATATGTATACATACACACAAAAATGATCTTCAGATTTAGGAAACTTGCTGTTTAATCCATGTGATGAAAGTATTCTTGCAACGTGAATAGACCAATTGTATGATTGTAACATGGACACACACGAGAAACATATTTAACTATATACTCCAGTGCACACAGTGAATTACTAGCTTCTTATATAAAAATCCATCAATCACACCAAAGATCTGAAAGATGACTCTGGAAAAACCCATGATGGCAAGGAGTCACATAATATAGGACCTGAGTATAGAAATAAGTGGACCAACTTATATCCAGAGATTTGTAGCAAACAACTAAGAAATCTGATGAGAAGGGTGAGGAAACTGGAACCTGGAAGATCAGTTTTGAGGCCAGTCCAGACAAAAATCTGTAAGAATCCATCTCCAAAATAACTAGTTAGAGCAAAAGGACTGGGTACTAATGATTAAAAGAGTAGGGAGAATAGTAACAATTCTTATTTCTCCATTCCTTTTGCTCTATTACCAAAATAGAAAAATCACCACAACTCTCTAGATTATGTAAAACAGAAGGCCAGGAGGAAAGCTAGAGCTAAGTGGATAAAAATATACAATATCAAGAATACACTTTAGTTTCTAAGTAAGTAAAACATCTGGCCCAATCAGCTATAGCCTAAATACAAAGCTGGTTGCTAGTGCCTCACATCTGTAAGTCTAGCTACTTAGGAGGCTGAGATCTGTGGATCTTTGAAGCCAGACCAGCAGACTCATCTCTAATCATCAAAAACAAACATGTGACTAAGGAAAGAAAAGTCAAATTGTAGGAAAAAAATCCTACATTGCCACAGTTACGGCTTTCCTCCCAGAAGCCTCAAGTTCTGTAAGTAAGCCATGAACAGTGGAACAAACCTGTAATTCCACCATTTGAAATGCTGATGCAGGAAGACCATCAGGTTGTGGAGGTGATACTGAGCTATGCCATTGAGACTATCTCAAAGAGCTGTGGACAGAACTTCATTTCAACAGCAACTATTAATGAAGATCACAGCATAATCTGGTCAACTTCTGGACCCAAGTACTGTTTCTTCAAAATGTACTCTTGATAATTGGCATGAAATATCACCGCCCACAAGACATTATAATCACTCCAGTTTTGATCAATTTCTGTCAAAAACAAAGCTTACTTCCTTCGGATAAATTACTGTTGGGTAAATACTGCCTTCAAAAATCCTAACAAGACAATAAAAAATAAAAATTTAAAAAAAAATCCTGGGCTGGGAAGTTGGCTCAGTGGTAGAGCACTTGTCTTGCATGCCGGAGGCCCTGGGTTCGATTCCTCAGCACCACATAAGCAAAAAAGAAAAAACCCGGAAGTGGCGCTGTGACTCAAGTGGTAGAGCGCTAGCCTTGAGCTGAAGAGCTGAGGGACAGTGCCCAGGGCCAGAGTTCAGGTCCCACGACCGGACCACCCCCCAAAAAAAAATCCTAACAAGGGGCTGGTAAGGTGGCTCAGTGGTAGATCGCTTGCCTTGCACACATGAGGCCCTGGGTTCGATTCCTCAGCACCACATAAGCAAAAAAAAAAAAATCCTAACAAATAAATCTAAAATGTTTCATTGCTGACTAAGAAAAAATGCCCATGCCACCTATTCTAGGTTTTAGTGATAACTCATAATTAACTTCCCAATATAACAAGAAACCTTCCCCAGAAGTCATTTTTATGTAGTCATACCATTTCATACAGTTTATAAACACAAAATCCCAACCACTTGAAATTTTTTTTTGGCCAGTCCTGGGGCTTGACCTCAGGGCCTGGACAGTCTCTGAACTTCTGCTCAAGGCTAGCACTCTTACCAATTGAGCTACAGCACACTTTGGGCCTTTTCTGTTTATGTGGTACTGAGGAGTCAAATCCAGGCTTCATCATGCTAGGCAAGCACTCTACCATAAGTCACATTCCCAGCTCTGAAATTGATACTCCTAAGCACTGAATAAGCAAGTAACACTCAGCATTACCTATTTTGGGTCTTTAAAAAAAATTTATGATGGGGCTGGGAAGGTGGCTCAGTGGTAGAGCACTTGCCTTGCATGCAGGAGGCCCTGGGTTCGATTCCTCGGCACCACAAAAGAAAAAAGAAAAAAGCCGGAAGTGGTGCTGTGGCTCAAGTGGTAGAGCGCTAGCCTTGAGCTGAAGATCTATGGGACAGTGCCCAGGCCCAGAGTTCAGGCCCCAGGACTGGACCCCCCCCCAAAAAAAAACCTTGTGAAAAGCCAGGCATCAGGAGCTCCCCCCACCTTAATCCTAGCTACTCAGGAAGCTGAGATCTGAGCCAGCTGGCAGAAAAATCCCTGTGAAACTTACCTTCATTTAATCACTCCAAAACTGGATATGGGGCCTCCTAGCTACTCAGGAAGCTGAGCTGAGGATCATGGTTCAAAGCCAATCTGGGCAGGGCAGGAGAGTCCGTGAGACTCTTATCTCCAATTAACCACCAGAAAACTAGAAGTGGTGCTGTGGCTCAAGTGGTAGAGGGCTTGCCTTGAACTGCAGAGCTGAGGGACTTCACCCCAGGCAGCAATGTTGCTCAAGTGGTAGAGGACTAACCTTGAGCACAGAGGCTCCAGGACAGCATCTGGACTCTGAGTTCAAACCCCACAACCAACCAAAAAAAAAAAGTCAGAACCCTGGAAATTCAATCACCAATTCTATTGCCACCAACCACCAAATGGGTTATCACTGTAGCATATAACCCTTCAGATAAAGGTAACACTAACAAGGAAGAAAAACTGCAAATTTCTAGGATCTTCTAAGTCAGCATTTGTGTCCTCATTCTGGAAACACCAAGCACAAGTTCAGCATTCTTTTTTTTATGCTTAGTCAACAAAACAAACGCCCTGCTATCCCATGCCACAGTACTTGCTTAAATAACCCACCAGACCTAAAGGCAATAATGGCAATCTTCTAGCAAATACACAGCCCTGCTGGCCACTGAGCCTTGAATAAGCATTATAAAATACCCAGAATGGTTATTTATTTATTTATTTGGCTGTCATGGGGCTTGAACTCTGGGCCTGGGCACTGTCCCTAATCTCTTCAGCTCAAGGCGCTCTACCACTTGAGCCACAGCACCACTTCCCAGAATGGCCATTTATATATCAAGAAAAGGCAGGTAAAGCAGACCTTCAGCATGTAGTTTTACCTGTTTTTCATTAGTCATTTGGGAGAATCAAATGATTTTTTTTTTTTGTCCAGGCCTGGGGCTGGAACTAAGGGCGGGCCTGGGCGCTGTCCCTCAGCTCTTTTGCTCAGGGCGAGCACTCCACACTTGAGCCACAGTGCCACTTCCTGTTTTCTGGTGGTTAATTGGACCTTTCTGCCCAGGCTTTGAACAGGGATTCTCAGATCTCAGTCTCCTGAGTAGTTAGGATTACAGGCGTGAACCATCAGTGCCCAGCCAGCAATAAAAATTTTAAGTATTATAGATGACTCTCAGATTTCTCTAAGAAGAGTTTTATTATATGTCCATTTCAGATCCTCTCAGCTGCCAATGTACTTCCCTACCATGTCCTCCTAGGAAAGATAAGGGATGAAGAAGCATTGTGGCATTTGGAAGCAATGTTTTAACTATTTTCAAAAAATCTAAGAATGGGGTGTAACAAATCTCAGCAGTGCAAGGCAGAAGGATAAAGAATTTCAGGGTAGCACAGGCTACATAGCAAGGCTATCTTAAAGAAATCTGGAGGTGGCACCGTGGCTCAAGTAGTAGCTCAAGAGTGCTATCCTTGAGCAAAAGAAACACAGGGACAGTAGCCAGGCCCTGAATCCAAGCCCCAGGACTGGTTAAAAACACACACACACACAAGCAGTTGGCAAAGCTGACAGGCACCCGTGGTAATCCTACCAACACTAGTAGACTTAGATCTAAGGATCGAGATTCAAAGCTAGGCTTTGAATTCTCCAATTAACCACCAAAGAGCTGTGCAGCTGCAATGGTAGAGTGCTAACTTTGAACAACAAAAAAAATATCTTACTGGCAAAGCCTAGGCACTGAGTTTAAGCAACAGGACCAGCACAAGGGGGAAAGGATGTACCAAAAACATTGTATTAACTTTTGCAAATAAGATCCACAGGATATGTGCTTATGTAACGTTTGTTTCAACTCGAAAAGGAAATGTTCTGTGATACTAATACCATAGCCTTTCTCTTGGTTTAAAAAGGCTAAAATGTCTCAAGATACTCTGAACTGTTTTTCTCCTATCTTGACACTGGTTCATGGACAACAATGAAATCACTTCTTAAATACTATACTAGTTGCCATTACAGAACTCACTCTTACCATTCCCTCCAACTAGTTCTCTTTAAGGCCTGAAATCACAACTTTGTCCTCACAAACACAACTAAGAACTTATGGAAGACTTAACATAAATAACCATGAATAAGGTGTGGTTCATGCCTATAATCCTAGCTACTCAGGAGTCTGGGATCTGAGGATCTTAGTTAGAAGCCAGCCTGGGCAGGCAAGTCCATCTTACCTCCAGGGCCCTGAAGACCCCCACAAATAAAGAATTAAATCACTTAGGTAGAAGGTTAAAAATAAGATGGGCTGCAGGCAGTGATCAGATTTTCACCACTCATCTTGGTAAGATAGGACCCAATGGGACCCATCCCTGCTGACACCAACCATTCCTCCCAGTAGAATCCCAACACACAAGCAGCCCACAATAGAACACTGTAGGCTGCAAGGCATTTGGAAACTACATAGACCTAAGTTCCTAGAACAGGAACTAAAGCCTGGTAAGAAGGTCAATGCAGCACACTCAGCGAATGGATAAACTGAATCATCATGTCACAAGGCTGCGAGCCCACAAACTAGCCAAATCTCTCAATATGGCACCAAAAGCAATTATGTTCATCTACAACCTT